ACCCTCGATATCTCGAAAGAACTCGTAGTATAAGATGGCGTAGAAGGAAGCTCGAGATAAGAGGATCCGACTCGAAACATCGCAACGTACGCTATACCGAATAATGAGGATTTTAACATATCCGTTAGAGGTATAAAATAATACGAGTGTGCGGCGATAACGGTGCATACAGTCGCAGCGATGACACAAATTTGTAATGCGACCTAAGCGATAATAGCGTCATAAATGCTAATGACAATATTACAACTAGCTCTAGCAGTGAAACAGCAGAAATAATCTAGACACGCGTTGCCTAGAACTAAAAACACTGTAACATTGTAATAAATATTATTTCTTCATTTTTTTTATTCGGATAAAATTTCGCCAATCTCCGATTCCAAGTATCTCGAACTCGCGATGAAACCAGCGTTCGCTTCTTGGCAATTGTTCGCTAATTAACTTCAGCGCTAACTTCGATACGGTTTTGTTGCGCTCGCGCAGATTAGCTCGACGTTCTCGAAAGATAGTCGATGCACTCTCCGCGATGATTGCTATTGTCTACGGATACCAGACGCTCTCCTTTTTCTTATTGATCTCCGATTCCGGATCATTTTTTCTTGCATTTATCGGCCGAAGACGTTCGCCGCCAACTGCCTCCAAGAATAAACTCGTCGAATCGACGACCCCAGATTAATTTGCTATTAGCGCGTGGGAATTCTTGTTTGCCTTGGTTATCGAACATCTTGATTCTGCCGCGCACATTCGAGTTTTGCGAACAATATCGATGGGTACGAAACGTGATCATCCCCGAAAACGAAGACTCCTTTCCTGCAAAGCGTAGAAGCTCGAAGGGAGTGCGTTTCGAACATCGTGGGGTTGTTTCAGAACTTTATTACACCTTAGGAAAGTGGACACGTGTTCTCGATGCACCCGTATGATTTACTTCGATTCGTAAGCATCGCGACGATCAAAGGTCTCTAGAAAGCATTCATCTCCCGGGTGAAGTAATTTTCACCCCCTATCGGCGCGCTCTTTCGTCTCCGAGCAGTGTTTGTAATGTTAATTTATCGCGAGCCTTCGTTTATCGGTACAAAGCTGTCAGCCAGGTCAACCTATCTGAGGAGACGGGAGCACCGCGCAAAGGCAATCCACACGTGGTACCGAGTGCAGCTGTGCGCAAAATTGATGATACATATCGGGCAGTAGTTAGCAATTTCTACGTAACGCGCGCTAGTTATTACCAGATCGAACGATAACAAATACCGATCGCGAGGAAAAATGCTAGGACCGATAACCGGGAGCCAGATAACGAACGACCAACGCGGATTCTTTCACCGTTCAAAGTAAATAAATGGATCGGCACGATCGAGTGCCGCTGTATTTTTCTGTTGGCAGGCACAGTGGGGGTGCTACTACCCGATAAGATTATCGATAAACATCGATATATTAAACGTCGTGGAAACTCGCGTTATTCAGGAGTTTGGTATAGATTTGTTTTCAGTAGATTGAACGTCAGGTGCGGCAGCTAGCTGCATTACGACTTAATAGGGAGCCTAATTGACGTCACGGTACGCGCATGGGTGTCTAAGCAGACGGAACGAAGCGATTACAGGACTTTTATCGCCACCGAGGGAGAGAGAGTGTGATTTTTTCTTTCTGCCCTCTCAAAGTTCAAAGGTTCGACTGATAATACGTTCGGCAGCCCGATATCTACGCTTAACTGATAAGAAATCTGCCTCGGTTGTTTATATTTGATGTCAGCGCGTGTCTTCGATACTTTCGCGCATTATCTCACTTCCTTTTGTGCCGGTTATTTGATTTCTCTCGAGTGGATTGCCGATCATTCGACTGCACAGCCAAATATTATGGAAGAGCCGTACATTTTGCAAGAAAATGTCAACGATACATCTCTGGATATTAGAAAAATCATCGATACATAGATCCATGACGCGATTGATCTTTATCAGATATAGAAGACCGTCTTGCAAACATTAAATTCCAACCTCTGTTGCAACACATTTGAATATAGGTGGTTTAAATATATTTTTATAGTATTGTATATTATTTTTCTTATCGTACAAGCATGGAAAATGTAAAAACGGCTATTTATTCAGTAATGTACAAGTATCCTGTCCCGGTAGATTATTCAAAAACGTGTCATTCGACGGTATCGCCATCTCGCGGCCAGAGGGTCGAACTAAAATTCCGACCTCCGTACAGCGCACCACCGGGAAAGCGCCCAAGTTTGTCCTCGAATAGTTTCTCTTTTCAACGCTAGATGGCGCCATTTGTATGGTTTAATAAAAAAAATAAAGGAATCAAGGGTCAAGAATTGATTTTCATTCAAATTTTAATATCACGAAGCATGTTCACTTATTTGTTAATAGATATAATAAAAGCAAAAATTGTAGAAATACCGACATCGTCACCTGGTGGTGGAGACGCATATTTTACGCCCAAGTTTGTCGTAAAATAGTTAATCTTCAATTGTTAAATGTCAAGATATTGATGTTTTCTTTTGTCCTATAAATTGTTTGACCAAGTTCAACGATGAACATGCCTACATATGTAAAAACACGGTAAAATAATAGGGTAATAGCAGTGTCGATAAACACATTCTAAATGGCGTCATCTACCAGTAAAAGGAGGAACTGTTTTACGACAAACTTGAGCGTTTTCCCGATAGACGTCTCCACCACTATGTGACGATGTCGGTATTTCTACAATTCTTGTTTTTATTATATCTATTAACAAATAAGTGAACATGCTTCGTGATATTAAAATTTGAATGAAAATCAATTCTTGACCCTTGAATTCTTTATTTTTTTTATTAACCCATACAAATGGCGCCATCTAGCGTTGAAAAGAGAAACTATTCGAGGACAAACTTGGGCGCTTTCCCGGTGGTGCGCTGTACGGAGGTCGGAATTTTAGTTCGACCCTCTGGCCGCGAGATGGCGATACCATCGAGTGACACGTTTTTGAACCTTATTTGTATATTCCTCATCCCATTTCTTCCTTTCACATTACTGTATGCAATTTTTATTAATTATTATGCAATAGTCGTTTAAATTCTTACAGTATTTCTCTCATAGAATGTTTTTAGGTTTTCCGATGACAGTATTAGTATAGTTGGTTGCAATATATGTCAATTCGTAAACTAGTCGAAGCTATGTATATATTGTTGCGTTATTTCGTTTAAAATTGCTTCGTGAACATAATGATAGTAACAGGAGCAATTTTTAACCGCAATATTTACTGATTTTCCGTGCATTAATTGCTGAACAAATGTCGTATATGCGTCACTCAGGTTCAATGTCGAGAATAAACACATACGACAAGTGTTAAGATCTTGAAACATGAACACATATAGACATAGTTAGTCGGGGAAGTGTCAGATCGAGTGCTTCGATCTTTGAAATATCGGATTGTTTCATAGTACTATTACATATTATTATTAGAGTCGTTATTCCACGACACATATAAATTTGTCTAGCAGACGAAAAACATAACCTCTTAGTTCGAAGTATCGAATTGTCATCGAAGGCGCGAATGAATTAAAACATCGTATTTGTATGCATAATGGCGAATGATAGGGAGGTACTCAGAGAAATTTGGGATGGCAAAATTCCTGTCTGTTTTACGCTCGATCCCGAGGAAATTTGCGAATTACAAGGACCCGATCCGTTTTATCTAATGGTACCTAGGTTAAGTTACTTTCCACTGTGCACGGATAAGGTACGAAAGCATTTTATTCGACACGTCCAAAGCGACGGCAAACAGGAACACGAAATGTGGCTAGAATTCAATGGCATTCCCCTGAAATGGCATTATCCCATTGGTGTACTTCTGGATATTTATTCCAATGATATACAACTACCCTGGAATATCGTTGTTCACTTTGAAAGATTTCCAGAAAATGTATTGATGCGCTGTCAAAACAAGTAAGCATATCGAAAGTAAAATTTCATTGCTTTCAATGTCGTATAAGTTTGACTTCATTAGGGTGATATTTCAGAGAGGCCGTGGAGTCGTATTTCCTCTCCTGCGTAAAAGAAGCTGACGTATTGAAGCACAGAAGTCAAGTTGTGTCTAGTATGCAAAAGAAAGATCACAATCAACTGTGGTCTGGCCTGCTCAATGATAAGTTTGATCAATTTTGGTCTGTAAATCGTAAACTGATGGAGGCTAGCAACAGCGAGGAAGGTTTCAAATATATACCTTTTCGTTGCTATACAAGCGAGGACAAATATGTACAGAAGCTTGTGAAACCAGTCAATGAAGAAGGTCAGAGGAAAACTCTGAGGCATTTGTTGAACGAAGTATTTCCAGATGATGAAAAGAGTAAATATATATATCTTTAATATCCGTCGCAATTTTTATGCGCGATATTAATCTCATCGTCGTACGTATTTTCGTTATAGTTACGGTACTCACCCATGGTATCGTTCCACCTTTGGAAACACCGCTGCAGTGGATGTCGGAACACCTGAGCTATCCGGATAATTTTCTGCATTTAGTTTTGGCGTCATAACCCATATAAAAAAAAATTAATTAACTATCGCTGAAAATTGGGTAAGCCATGAGTTCGCGTTGCTTCTGTATCCGTTCCCTCATCGAGATTCGTGGATCTTGTTATTCTCTGTCTTTTATTATATATTTATTTTATAAAATATTGTAAATGTCGCTCTAATTTTTCTTAAAAGTCATCAACTTTATCTTAACTGCAACGATGGACTTGTACGAAATTCGGATAGATGTCAGACCACATTTGCTATCGATCAACGAGAATGTATCCGAAAAAAAATTTATTGTATAAATATAGTTATATAAATATTTAAACACCCGTTTGTGAATGTAAATACACCAATCAAGATTGTAATTGATATTAAAAAGGAAATGCGCGCACGGCCTATCGAAAGAAGCAAAGGCAAGGGCGGAAATAAATAGAACACCTGCTTTGACGAATCGAAGAAAATATTATTTAAATTGAAAATCGAGCAGAACAATTAAATCGTGCGTTAATTTATCACACAACTGTCCCGAGGCTTTCTGTATATCCTCAATATCTGCGAAGACAAGTCTTCGACGTTTCGGATCGCCAAGGCTTCGGTTGGTCTCCTCACGATGACAGGTTGATTCCCATAGCTGCTGTATTCCATGGTTCTACGGCTGGTTCCAAAAGTCAGATAGTTGACAATTTCCTTTTTACTTTGTTCCTGAAACGAAGAGATTTACTGTTATTAAATGAAATGCAACGTGCAAAGAATGCATACTCGAATTGAGATTAGAAAAATCCGAACTCGACATAGTTTGCTTCCGAGGGCCATACATAGCCGGGTACACGGCTTTCTTGAAATACAATTAACGTATCGATAAAATGTCTGCCGGCGAGAAGAAACAGATAACGTGCATTTATATTTAAATCGATCTACTTAAAAGTGCTAAACGTTACAAGTACGAGCGATTACTTTAAATATAACCAGTGCCGCGTCTTGGTATCTGTTATGAATCTCTTCTTTGGTCAGTGCAACGCTGGCTTCTGGCGGTTTATAACGCTCCGTCATTTACAGCTACGCTTCTCCAGCGTGCTCTGACTGCAGAACCTGTAACCAGAAACGCTGGTATCGTTTTACGAACAACCTCTCTATCTGATTATAATCCGCGAGCGAGCGACCTTCGATCATCGCAAAGATACCTCTACCCGACGAGTCGACGAAACCGTCGACCGACGAAGATTAACGTTCCACGTTTCCAAAAACAACGTCGACAGAAAAAGAGCGAAGTCGAGGACGACGAGACAAAAAAAAAAGAAAGAAAAAACCGCGTGGAGACGTCAAAGACGAACGTTGGAAAGAAGGGATCACAAGTGTTCGTCTAGGGTAAAAATAAACTCTGGCCTAGAGTTTAGCAGTACGGTAAACAGCGATTTTTCCGTCGTTTCAAAGATTAGTATTTCTTTCCTTCTTTTATACCTGTATTCACTACTAATGCAGATTGAAATCTTGTATGCTTTTAATTGTATAGCCATAAAAGTATCACGAATGCAGTAAATCTAGACACGATGTTCGAAAGTGTGATACACGAGGATCTCTCGAAGCCAAGTTATCGCATCGACGCGTCGATCGTTTCGATACTATTTAAATCATATGCATGTAAATAAAATGAAATGTTGTTTATCTTTCATATGTTCGAAAGCATTAACTAGATCAGAAATTCTCGCCGATGTACATACATACGGTTCGGTGTCTTCAAAAAGTCTCTACCAATTTGTAACCACTGTTCGAGAGGATATCGACGGACGGACAAGAAGCACACGGCGAGAATAATCAACGAAACTCGACACTTTCTAGCTACGTTGATCTTCGACTTGCAAACAGAAGTCACGCTGCTCGACTGTTGGAATCGGGCCAGGAACTTTTTGGTATCCTTTTCGAATTTCCGGTTGAAGACGCCAGACGCGGGAGAATTCTGTCGCGAAGTGTTCTTTTTCCACTCGTAGCGAACAATAGTCTCTGTTAATCTCGAATATAAGAACAATTTAACGAAGGATTCAGCGCGGCACGAACCGGAACCCTAACGTTCGCTGTATGTACAACGATTAACCGAATCTCGGCTAATCTAGACCAAAATTTGTCGCAACTCTGGCTTTAGAATGGATTTCGGTAGTCGCATTTTTCTATTCACGGGAAACGGTAGTATCTATAATAGTACGAATTTTTGTTCATCCGTGCCTCTGCACCCTTCCTAATTGCATTGCACCAGTCGGTGACATTTATTGGCTCTGATTGAAGTGTTGCATCAGTCATACGTCGATTCAAGGTCTGCTTTGCGCGTATGCGATGGCCTCAATAAAAACGAATAGCGTTGTTATTACTATTTAATCTAGCGAACTTTCAACAAACATCAGAACTCGAATTTACGATCCTTGAAGAGATAATAATTGCCAAGAAGAAAGCTGTTCGCGACTATTATTTTAAAATTCTAAAATGCTTTGAGCTAATTACATTGAGAATAGATGCATCGCTACACGCTTTGTAGCTGTTGTAACGATAAGATATTTAATAATCTTTCACAGAAATTGCAGGGAAATATCGATAAACCAGTGTAACTGATGGTGCTGCCACCGTCGATAACTCGAGTGTCTGCAATTTACGACGACATAAATGTATGAAGTAGGAAGTGATTTTTTGTTTCTTTTAATTCAAATTGATCGCTCGTTACAGTTCAATTAGTTACTCGTACCGTACGCTCCTGCGGTACGTAAGAATATATTGCATCATACGCACGTGTCCGATTGCACGCGTCCGTGCCGCACCGTTTTCGAAAGCAGTCGACGGAAACCGCGATTCGGTCTTGTACATAGAAATTAAGGTTCCTACCGAAATCTGACTATAGTTTGAGACATCGAAGATGACTCCAAGAGTAATTTTTTACGACAAAGTATTAGTCTTAATTTGTTCAATTAAAATAAGCACGAGCCCGTATTATTTACGTCATTTATCGACGCAAGTGCATCGCTGGTCGACGGGAACTGCGAGGCGCGAGGGCGAACGCGTGGTTGCGTGCTTAGAAAGTTTAGCGAGTACGTGCGCGATCGTCGATCCGCGGCCACTGCCAATCGACCGCGATAACGGAAACAATGCATCGCTCGCATCGATGCGCGCCTTACTCCTGTGTGGCATATGCGTGTGCATCCGACGTGACTGCATTCGGTGCGCGAGTCACAATAAGTTGGCTTCTGCTTATCTTCGGCATGACTTCAACCCTCGTACGAACCGCGATGGAATCATGTATTTTAGGTATAACAGCAAACGAATTAACTTGGGGAAAACTGAACGTTTTCAGCGTAAACCAAAGGTCGCGAGGTTGATTTTCAAGGCAGTAGCAACAGCGTTGCGTCGAGTTTTTACGGATTTGTCTCGACAAGCGAAAGATGTCATCCGATAAGATTAAAGCTTAAAAAAAAAGACACTCGTTGAAACAATACCTGCAATGATACGAACTCGCGTTTTTTTTCTACTTCTTTTTTTACGAGGATAATATACGTCACGGACGTTTGTTAAAGAATCAGACTTGAAACTTTGTTTCTATCGTTGTTACGAAGGAAGATATTGCAAAAGCCCTACAAAACAACGAGTAAGATTACTCGTACGATCTGATGTCAACGAGTTATTTCGATAAAGATTCGATTGGGATCGTAGAAAGTACCGGTTTCACTGAAATCAATTTGGGGAGCATCGCGTGTACCTATGTTCGGCTGTATCTTCCCAGAAATTATCAGCCTTGCCGCTATCTCGGAGATGTGCGTCACTACAGCGTGCTACGCTCTTATAAAGAAAGAAAATTTCCACGTTCTAGATAAACGATAGATGTACATTTTAAATTTAGTTTCGTTTACGTTAGTTGAATGAAAATTAAATTTTCACAAGGAATCAAAGAATACTATCTACTCTCGTTGGTGGTAAATTCTTTTCGAGAAGAAAAGAAGAAAAAAAGTCACAGGCGGAAGAAAAACGGCACAGGATGGAAATAATCGAAACCGAGAGTTCTTTTAAAATAGTCTCTTATATTTTCTCTCAAATTCATTAAAGTTCTATCTTCGTATAATCTACGCATATGTATATAATACAATATTTAATACAATTACTTCTTGTTTTTCCGTGTGTACAAAAGAAAACGACGCGTCGACGGTGCCTGTCTGTCTCACCGTACGATAAAAACGTCGATCATTCACTCCCTCTCTTTCTCTCCCTCTCATTCTCCATCTTCCTCTCGATGAATCACAATAACGGATATGGTCGGTAATCGGGAAAATTTTCCCGTCGAAAGGGAAATACACGCGCTACGTGACTTCGTACATATCGGAATCAATAATAATAGTAATAATAATAATATCGCTGCTTTCGTCACCGTTCACAACTCATTGGGGAGCTTCGGTCGTTCGTAAAGACTCATAGATAACCGAATCGTTCGTTTATCAACTTAGAGTTGCTTCTTGGCTCGACGAAGGCACCAGAAATTTTATTCGAATAATAGATGACGAATATAAATTCTGTATAACGATTTACACAGTACAGTAATATAGTGTTTCTATTTGTCATCTGTTACTCGAATTAAATTCTACTTAACTTTGCTATCGGTTAATCGAAATTCGATATTTTTAATTGAAATGGTAAACCGATCGAAGATTCACCCGATAAACGGGCATCGAAGGAAATAGGAAATTAAAAAAATGAAAGAAAACACGTCGGTTCGTTGCACGCAAATTCTTTTCGATCGTTTATTCGGCGGACATAAGGAAAAACAAAAAGAAAACGTCCTCGCTCGAGAAACGGTGGTCGTAAACGACGACCAATAAATAAATCGTGTAGGTTTGAATACTGATTATTACGATTATTATTATTATTATTACGCGCATGGGCGAGTCACAACCGGTGTTCTCAATCGCGGAATGCATCCGGATCGAGAGAGTCGCGGTGAACGCTTCTTCGTTGCCGGAGGGCTCGAAACAATCTAATACCGTGGCTCGTTCTAAGCAGGGATGGACACAATTCTCATCTGGATTAAAATTTTGTATAACAATTAAAAATCTGTATTATATACAATTAAATTATGTTGCACGTTGAACGAATAAAATTTTTATTTGTCGTCTAATACCCGAATAAAATTTTGCCCATCCCTGGTTCTAAGAACACGAGGCACTTTGGTCCTTGATTTCGCCTCGCGCGAAGCTATAAGGCACGAGCGATCTAAAAGGCACCGGGCGAGTTAAGAGGCGTTTCGTCGGTACATATAACTTTGATCGTATTAAAATATAATATATATAATTATGTATACATATATATATATATACGTGCTCTGTTTCTCTCTCTCTCTCTCTCCCTCTCTTTTTATATTTATATGTTTCAACGCTATATATAAATTTCTTTGTACATGTACGATACACGAGCATATCATGCTTATGACGTTATTCCCTACGTGTGTGTATTTCTTTCTGTATGCCTGTGTACGTACATCTCTGCCTACACTCGTGTGTACGGACTTCAAAACCCGGGGGTTCGCCCACGAAACTCCCCTTCCGAACCCACACTCTTCGCTGCTCCATTCCCGTCGCTTCGTTCGTACACTTTTATGCGCTTAAAAAAAAAATATATATATATATATTGCTTACATACGCTTTATGCCTCGTTTAATAGACTCTTGTGGGCTGTGCACACGGAACACACGCAATCACGCACGCACTTACGCAGCCACGCATAGATTTCTCGCGCTATCGAGCACACACCGCTCGGTTCGACGCACCACGTTCGTTCATTATGTAAAACGTTATGGCATTATGTAATTCATTATGGCTTATGATTACGCTACATTTTATTGTACATTGCCGCCTTGACCCTATCGACGGAACACCGGACAAGGCTATATATCTACATGTATACACATAATAATAATAATAATAATAATAATAGTAATAATAATAATAATAATAATAATGATAATAATAAGAATAATAATAGTAATACGGTGTTTCCTTTCATGTTTTCACGCTTTCCGATTCTCGAGGGCAGAAACACCCTTCGGTCGTAGATGGGCGATATTTTTATCTAAACGTTAACAAGAATGGCGATTTTGCAGTTTTAAATAAATTTATATCGATGTTTTGATCTTTTAGACGTGATCATCGTCATAATGTTTACGTGGTAAATTAGAAGCAAAAAGATTATAAAGAAACTAAACTATGAAACAAATAATTAGACTATAATACATTGGAAAAATTCAAGAAAATGTTCGAACGAAATTTTGCCCGCTTCTGGTTTCATTCGAGGATGAAAAAAATTCAAAGTATACGTTTCTCGTCGGTGAGATTCGCGAGCACGCTGGTAAATATGTATGTCGTCGATCCAAGCTGCGAAACGCGTTCCGCTAGACGACGATAATGCGCGGCTGTCGCAACGCGTGAGATTGTTCGCGCGCCTGGAACGAGCTCGATTGAGCCTGAATATTGAAACATTGACGTAACCGGTCCGTCTGCGACGCTCATTTACAAAATTGGCCGTCTTCATTGGGTTAGGTTGCGATACGGTCTTATTTGCCGAACCTCGCCCTTTCACCGCGCTTCGATGCGACGCCATTCTTTCGCTCAAACTTTGTTCCGAACTAGTCTATCCGTTCGAATAAAATTTTGTCCATCTCTTCTTTTCCCTGCGGCGCAGACGGATCGTCGCCGATGACGTTTCTATGGACGAGATTACTCGTTGCAATCAGTCCGAAGAGATAGCGATCGGTATCGAGCAACCAGGTATCGCGGAATGTCTCCACATTTTCCAACGTCACCGATTCAGAGAACTTTCTTCGTGTCGCGACGTCGCGAAGGTCGTTCGACGATAAAAAGAGAACACGTTATCGCATCGAGAATCGGAATGCGCCGGAACGATACTGGAAATGACAACACGAAAAATACACCTATGCACGAATAATTTGTAACGAACATTCAAGAACACTTCGTAAACAATTTCATGTATAAACGACTTTCCGCCTTTGTAAAATCTTAAAGAGATATTCGTCTGTACGGGTTGAAATTGCTTTACCTACTTTTTAAACATTTTTTTTTTTTTGTTTAAATAACTTCAAGTTATTGATCTTAGATCAACGGAAACTTCTTCGTATAAAAATAATTACTGGCACGAATTAGGCGAAACGTCTGTCAAGTATAAGGCACGTGAGTTTTTCGAAGCGTTCTCGTTGTGTATACGTTCGATTGGAGACGAGTAAAATTTATATCTAAATAAAAATTGAGACTAATAAATTAAGTATAAACAAAAATAAAAAAATTTCCGAATGATTTTGAATCGAGTAAATGACACGAAAAGTTCGTTCTACGTTGATTCTTTTTATTCGAATAAAATTTTACTCCTCTCTGGTGTGTACGTGTTTTCTTAAAATTCTTTCCCTACCATCAGCCTCTTGAGAGTTAGTCTTTTTGCCACGATTACGACTCGTACAATTAAGCGTCGACGTTTCTTGTTGCGATTGGTCGATATTGCAACACTGCATTTCGAGTTTGTTCGCGACGAAAAGGTTAACCTATCTAACAATTTCTTGCTCCTCTCCGATCCAGCGATTTCCGACGGCTATGAACAAGTTTCGCGGATGATCGATGGACCGAAGAAGCGCACAGATCGATACAAAATATATTTTTTGTTTATGCACGCGTCTACGAGTTAATTCGCTCCGAAATTGGGAGGAAAAGGCACGCGGTGCGGTTTCGAACGGAAGCGATCGCGACGTACAATACTATCACGCTATCGAATTCTTCTCGTTGCCGTTCCTCTCCTTCCTTTCGAAATTCTCGCGATTTCCGTTTTCGGTGAAAATTCCGGGAACCGGCTCGATCCTTTTACGCTGTCGTATACCTCTGTAACCGTGGATCGGTCGATTCCACGCTATTTACATATTTACAAGTCATCGATCCGCCGGGAAGGAAAGAAACGACGAAGAAAAATTGTCGGATGATCCGAGTCGAGCGGCGGGGGAGAAGAAAATGAGAGAAAAGAAAACGGAGACGGAACCCTGTCGTAATACTTGCGCACCGTGCGTGTAACACTGGTGCGCGCATGGAAGAAATTCTTTGAGCAATTAAACGATATCTAACGACGATCGATCCTCGACGAAGACGGAATAAGAAAAACGACGGCCGTTCGCGGGAAAGCCAGCGGGTGCGACGGGAATACAATACACGGGAATACTTTTCGCATCGTGGAACTTTTCATTCCTAATTCAATCTCTAGAGACTCGAGGAGGGATTCGTTGAAAAATAAGATGGTGTCTTCCGATCGTTTCGTAACCCCATCGCTCGCGGGAGAGTTTTTCTCCGTGATCGGTATCTATTGCTGCGACTGACATAATTCCGTAATTATAACGATGCCACGCGACCTCTAAACGGCCTAGCCGATAGCCGCTCAACGCTAATCTCGACGATAACAACGAAAAAGTGTCTCGCTGGATATCTGCACCGATTTTTTTAGAGGATGCGGGGAATAACGAAGAGAAGCAGGCCTGGGCAAGTTGGGAGAACACGTCGGCCGAGGACACGATTATGTATAATTTCTCCTACCACGCCATGCATCGTCCAATGACTGATTAAGACTTTATCGCGATCTATAACGCGGTATCGAAACGATAAACGTTCGCGGCGCGCGACGTGTCGTTGATCACGTATCTATCGATCCTTCGTCGGCGAATCCTTTTGCTCAAATGGTGGGGATCGGCAAGTCGATTTCGAATGATTCTCGGATGACGACCAAGGATCGATGAATATGTATCGCGTCTATCCCGCTGCGTTGAGGATCGAAAGAGTGTTGCCGATTTAACTGTAATGAGGACTCGCTGGATACCTAACGAACGCGCTTTTAACTTGAGGGAACTCGGTGTACGGACTCGGGTGAGTCCTCCAGGATACCGGCAGTCTTAAACTGAGTTCGAGGGCGTAGTCGTGGCCCCTGCTTTCGTTTAAATTGCAGATGCTTTGGCAGTTGTTGTTGTTGTTGACGACGTTCTGGCTGCTAACGGGGGACAGCCCCCTCTGGATCGAGTGCTCCTTCGCAGGCTTACTTACGGGATTGTCCAGGTACGGTTTGAACAGCATAGCATCCTTCTTAGAGATTGGTTCCGGAGGAGGAGGTGCCGTGGATGCCGGTGGCGTCGGGACGGTGCTGGTCACTGGTTCCGATCTTGGCGAATCGAAGAGCCTTTTCGGTTTTACTAGACACAATGGCGTGTCTTGAGGCGGCGCTTCCTGGCACGCAGGGCTCGTCCCGATAGTCTCGTCGGTTTCCAAACAGATCCTCTTCGGGGACGGCGTACCCTCGTAGCAGCACGCCAGAGTGCAGTGCTGTCTTTTCGAGGACGAAAATTCCTCCGTTGTCTCGGGCACGGAGGTGATCTCGGACGAATACTCTCTGGGAGAATAACAGTACAGCCTGTTTTGAGGGTCCGAGTAGCAAGACCCTCTTAAGGACGTTTCCTGGTAACACGAGGGCGCCGGTGTCGTCGCGTGAACGTCCATGCAGCAGGAGAGATTGCAAGAAGCCGCGGGCTCGCTCTCAGACGACGGATCCATCATCACCGAGTGGTGGTAGTAGGAAAGATGTTGCGAGGAGGAAAAACTTACGTCGCAACAGTAAAGAGGCGGAGGCGATAGGTCGTACTCGGCTTCGATTCGATCGTGCGATAAGTTGGAAACATAGTTCGACGTCCTCAGATCCACCGGTGACTCACCGGAAGCGGCATCCTGGATAGGGCCCAGCCGTTGCCGTGAGTTTCCACGAACAGCGATTTCACCCCTAAGCTCCGTCTCCTGGCCTAGCCATTTTTGTACTTGGCGCCGATTAATGCCAAATTTTCTCGCTGTTGCACGTTGATTCCCAGCTACGCCGACGTCTCTGTGAAAAGCGTCTAGAACGTCCAGTTTGAAGCGAAGGGAAAAGGATCGTCGACGAGCGAGATCGTTGGACGAATTATGCCCACCGGAAGAGCAATCGAGAGGGTCCATTTCGCTGTCTGAGCAACTGGTGCTGGATCTCCCGGAACTAGCGGGATCTCGAGGGCTCGACGGCAAGGAATATCCTTCCGGATCGTTCGCTGGGCTTACCGGACGCGAGTCGGCAGGTGCCCGTTGATAATCGACGTACGATGATGCATCGGCCTCTCTTCCTTCGTCGTTCGTCTCCTCCTCCTCCTCCTCCTTGTCCTCTTCCTCCCCCACTTCCTCGAAGTGCAATTCTTCCTTGATCACCGTCCTATCGATTTTCGCCTCATTCACGACATCCTCCGTTCCCTTCTCTTCAATACGGACCGTTGTCTCGTTCGACTCTTGGATCGACTTCTTGGAATCCGGTGTCGGAGACGCGTATACGTGTGCATGTTCGTGCACGTGCAAGCATGGACTCACGGATGCCCGTGGGGAATCGAAGTGAACGGACGTCGTGGAGCTGGTGCTGGTGGTACTATTGGCGCGATGCGAAACGGGCGAGAGCGGGACCTTAGGGGCACCGGGAGAACACGTCGATTCGCACGGTCCTGGTGTCGCCGCTGAGTCTGGGCTCGCTCGTTCCGTCTTTATCATGGACGGCGCTAGCAGCAAACCGTACGATGATTTCCCGTCCACGGAAGAATCCACGTCTCCGTAAGTTTGTTGAGATCGATGGAGGCTCGGCGAACGATGTTCTTGCCGATGATGAACCATCGCACCGATTATTTCGTTTTCCTTGTACCGGTGCGCTTGATGAGAAGGCACGCGATAGCTGGTCAACGTTTGATATACCTTCGCCTCGTTTCGGCCGTCGAACGACGTCGAGGTCTCGATTTCTCGTTGTCCGTCGCCGTTTAGAACGTAGTAACCGACTTGTTCTCGATCCCCGCGAGTTTCCGAGTATTCGTGAACCGAGTCCGTTATCTGCGCGCGATCCTCCGTCACTCGACGAAGATGATGGGGCTCCTGATTACCGGAATATTCTTGATATCCGAGGCGAACGGATAAAACCGGGACCGTGGTGGATTGAGCGGCATATTGGGGCGAAGAGCCTGAACCACCATGAGGAGGACGAGAAAGAAGAGGTGGGGGCCCTTGCTGTGTAGCCAGCTCGTCGCCGTGCAGTCTGGTGAGGCTGAGGTTCAAGGCCGGCGCTGCTGGAGTCACGGCAGGCCCCGTACCTTCCGTCACGGTACCGTCCGACTTGGAAACACCCGCGGAAGAGATCACCGTCGACGAAACGACTCCCGAATTTCCAGTCTCGGCACAACTGTTTCTCAAATTATCCTCGCACTGTAACCACTTTTGTATTTGACGTCTGTGGATTCCGTATTTCCTCGCGGTGGCTCGCTGATTCCCACGACAGTCGATGTCGTTCCTGTACGAATCGAGAACCTTGAGCTTGAAGGCCGGCGCAAATATTCGTCTACTGCCCATCACTCCGACGGATTTCCTAGTGCCGTTTTGTTGCTGCTGATGCACTACCGACTGCTGTTGCTGTTTCTGATGCACCATTTTCACCGAGTTCCCCTCACCGAGCACCTCGCTCACACCGTGAGCCATAACGTGTAGTTTCGCGCACCCACCGAACCAACTTTTTCTTGGCGTGACGTCGATGACCGTCACGCGTCCAACACCGGAGACGACAACGACGGCGATAATGACGACGATGAGCTTCGTAACCGGGCACTGCCAACGACGCACGGGGGTACCTTAACGCGTAACATTGCACGAAGTGCTTGCCTGGCCGCGCCGCGCACGGAGTTCCTTTTAGGTCTCTTGGTGGATGCCGTAACTAATTTTCATCCCCACCACTGGACGAGGACTGCGGCTGCTTCCCACTGAGCGGTCTCTTTCCCTTCCCCCACCCCCCACCACGAGTCGTCGGCGGCTTGTACTCGCGGATCTCTTTCTCTCTTTTGATCATTCGCACTCTTTCCCTCTCTCGCGCGTCTCTTTGCTGCACTCTCGGTCTCTCATCGTGATTCCCCCTCCACGTCGTTCCCTTCTCTTCGCTTCTCTCTATCCAGCCAGCGCCCCCCCCCCCCGCCCCTCGCTCCTCATCGCGCGTATCCAACATCCCACTCGAGCAGCACAGGCGCTAGAGTCCACCGCCGGCGGCCACCAGTCATTCTTCTTTCTTTACGCCTAACCGACCTAACCTCCACCAACTACCAACTTCTCTCTTTCTACGTTTCTCGTCATCCCGGCTGACTAGCCGTGCACGTAGGCGCCCCACCCGCCCTCTCCCCCTCGCGGCTTTTCTCACTCTCTCTCCGCGGAGGAGAGCCTCCCTTTCACACCTCAGCGCCGTAAAACTCCGCCATTTTGTGTGCTCACTTCCGTTAATGACGCGCGCGGGAAACGTCACGCCGGCGTGACGACGCTCTCGGCGCCATGTTGTCTGCCGCGATCGTCCGACTGCCTGTCTGCCTCCCGGTTCTCGTTTCTCGCGACTCGCTACGGCGAGCCTAGCAGCCAGCATGGAGCCTCGGATTTTTGCTCGCCTTTCTCTTCGGCTCGGCCGTGCCTTTTCTCGCCTACACGAACAAACGCTCGCATATGCTACGCAAATTTTCTCGCAATACGATCGACGATTCGATCATGGTCGAAAGAGTACCGTAAGAGTGGTACGCAACGGCTCGAGTTACGATGTTTTCTCGTTCGCCGAGATTAGGCGCGTTATCTAGGTTAAATCGTTGAAGACCTACGTCAGGCTTCGCATACGGTATACGATTCTTGAAAGCTTGCCGTACCGAGCGCCAACAGCAACGACTGTCGTCTAGGAAGTTTTATTGGCACTCGAATAAGGGGAAAGGCCGGGGAGGCAGGGGGTTTTTGCCTTCCAGGAAAAACGGCCATAGCCGTGTCGGCTTACCGGTAATGGTAGTCTCGTTAGGGTTGAAGTTGTCCCTATTATAACTCGTCGGGGTAATGCGATCTGCATTGTTCTTACCGGTTATTACCAGCGTTATGCTAGCTTACCGTTACGAGTCATCGCTGGTCAGTTATTCTTTGGTTTCCGTAAGCCCTTATTTTCGCTTTTCGCTTCTTCTCTTGTCTGTCACTTCGGAGTTATCGGTGGATGAGGTTTCGAAGCGTGTACATACGAATCGCGAGTTTCTTGCATATACGTTCTGGAATGAGATCATGTTGTTTTTGTGGCGTGAGCCGACAGTTAATATGTTTAGCTTTTCGCGCGGTTGCCATGTCGCTCGGTCGCACGTAGGCCGCAACATATGTATACGGACATAGAGAGACCTGCGAGCAATGACGCAAACCGTGCGTTAGTATATACTTTGACGAACGAGAGTGAGCGAGATAGGTCGTGTAAAAAGAAACGAGCGAGGCCTCGTAAATTTCCACGATTCGCGCCACCAGCAGAAACACCAAGAACCCGACCGATCCTTCTGCGGTTCCTCGAAAGAGCACCCTACTGCATTTCGAAGAATCTCGCTGGCTATTCTCGCACTGTCGATCACGCCGACTCCAAGCCCTTTCTAAATACATTCAACAACCAGCGATACCGCGACGAGAAGTACCTGCCTTCGAGCATCGTTCGACCTTCGCATAGTTTTATAGCTGCGACTCATCGTTCAGGCATTTCGCGCCTCTTTCGAACGGTCGGGTTTCGCCTTGACTTTCACAGAGTCATATTCGATCCGTAATCGCGATCCCTCGATGTCTTTAGAGTTATTAACGTTTCGTGGAAAGAGGAGCACGGTAACGGTAGCGGCTGAGAATAATATCGTGTGGAAAGCGTCGCGGCGGTAGCAGACCGGCAGTCGCCTAAGTACGCCACGACGGCTGGCACGTTCATCGGATTTGTCCTTGGGGCCGAAGGTAGGCGCAGCCCGAAGTCCGAGGACGTGGCAACGCAGCGACCAAGCTCCCCCTCCTTTGTCCGTCGGCCGGTCTTGCCAGACAGGGTGTCGCCAGCTCGGTCGGCCGGGCTGTTCGGGTTCCCGCGGGGGGAGAGGAGACGAAGAACCCAATGGTGTCGGGTAAAGGGGCAAGGGGGATTCCGTGGGTTGGTGTCTGTTTGAGCGTGTGACGGAGTAGACGTTAGGGGGAAAGAGCACGCTATGCGAGGGAATCGTTCGAACGGAGATCTTGTAGCTCGTAAGGCTGTTGTGTGCGTGTCATAGGATCGGTCGTGGACCTACATTCACGTGGGTAGCCATGTTTGAAAACTCGCGTCCTGCTGGAATGTAGCCTGCAGAGGCCCCTTCGTTGATCTCTCCCTTCCCTCCCTCTCTTTCACCTTTCCTTCCTCTACACCACCGTACGCGATTCCCCGTTTCGCTCAACGATGCTCGGACGCCTACCTACGTCTCACCGTAGGCTTCTCTTCTATCTTCCTTTGCCCTCCTATGGTTTTCCCTTCTATACGTATGTATGTACATCTCTCCTCTCCTCTTCGTGTCCCAGCGTTCCATGCTTGGCGCCCCAAATGGTCGCGTAACCAGAGACGTGCCTCTGGCCTGGCCTGGCCTGGTCTGGCCTGGCTTGGCCTGGCCGCGCCAGACTTCTCGGCGCCCAAATGATGTATGCCGACCATTCTCTTTCTCTTTCTTGTTCGTTCGTTTCGACCTCGTAGCCTTTGCTTTCCTTGCTCTCTTTTCATGTATTCGTGTGGTGGGTACGCAGCGTAAAGTCGAGGGATAGAGCCGGAGCATTTAGGAGCAACCGAGACACGGTATTCCTATTTACCAGTGCCTCGACTTGCGACACCTCACCTTTGAGTACTATGGCACACTATTCGTGGCCCTTACCTACCTTACATGTGCGGTAAGAGCCACGTGAGAATGCGAGGCTGAAAAAAAAGAGCGTCGGCGGTTGTGATTCGTGGCAAAAAGTACATTAGACGGTCCTTCTATCTCGAGTATGGAAGCAACGTTCGAGGGTTCTTGGCAAACGAGACAGAGGGTCGCCTACGATGCTTTATTTGCGAGGGCGATTGATCGAATTTTACTGCGGCTGCGACTGAAATTTAGTGTAATTTAATAGTGTTTTCGTGTATGTAATTGGCGCTTCTCCAATGCAGGTTTATCATTCGTGGTTTGTCCAAGCCAACTTCTTAGGCGTTATGCTCGTATCTCGGATGGCCGTTCAAATTGTTATCCCCTCGTAGGGTATATTGGCCTTATAGGTAAGAGGACATTGAGAACAACTAACAGATTACGACAGGGTCCGTGACCATTTTAGAAAGATGGTTATCCTCCTGCGTTCCAAGTAAACAGTCGCACTTGCTAAAATCGCTGACTCGAGTTTATAACCCAAGTTTATTTATGTACACGCTAACTGGGAGAGCGCCACACGTGCAACAACCTACGTGTATACGTATTTCTCTTGCTGCGTGTTAGACTTGCATTGCACGCGTTCTTGTGCGTATGTGCATGTACACATTTTGAATCTAATCGCATACATAAACACTAACGGACCGGTGCTGCATAAGGATTTTTGTACTTGGGCGACTTTTGAGCGCACTCTGATACCACGTAAACCGATTACTAAATAATTGAAAACAAGTGGTTAGGATTCGTAATTGTTGGGTGTTTCTTCAAACTATCCACGAAGAGGTTATTCGTTCCTCCGTGGGTTTACCTTTCATCGCTATCACTTTTAAACTATGGCGAGTCAACGTCGAATTTTTGGAAATGTTGCGCAATGTATAGAACCACGCTTCAGACGTGTACGCAAATTTGTCGAGAGCGAAGATTCTTGGAAACGAACGGTATTCCCCGCGATTCACTCGAGACAAACGTCGGCCCTGATCGTGCAATACGTATACATAGGTTAGGCGTCACAGTTGGTCGCATCGCTTCGTTTGCCCACGTACGAATACAGAAATATACCTTCTCCGTGGGCGGTCGCACGATGGCGCCTACTCGCACATACCTGCGCATACCTGCGAGTTCGTGGCTAACCTCGCAGCACGAAACGATCGTTTCACCGATATTCGTTCGATTCGTGCGTCACGTATTCGCCCCTTTGCGTGGTTTCTTTCCCGATATCCGAGAGCTAGAGGAAGAAAGAGGGGAAAAAAGAAGGCGTAGAAACAGAAGGAACGTTATCGCAAACGAACGCAAGGAATGAAGTGCACACGACCAAAACGAAATGCAACAACGCCCACGTTGCGTCTTTCTACCAGAACATATACAAGCTAACCTTTTTATCTTATCATTGGCGAAGGCGTATCGAGGTTGACGAGGTTGCCATGTGTTCGCCTTTGGCACGACGACGATGAAAGACAACGACGACGTGGATGACGAGGCCTCAAAACGACTGCTAACATCTTCTTTGCTTCGTTTACGCAGGAACCTTGAATTCGAGCACGAAATCGTTACGCGTCTAGCGTCCGACTTTGATGTCACGTCGCAATGGCTGCGATTCGCTTTATCGACCGAGCAGTAAAAAATTAAGGGACTGCTAAAAACTGTTGTCTTATCCGCGACTTGCTTTATCGACGTTCGAATACTATTTCCTGTCGAACTTTGAGTTAATGATTTTTCACCGCGTGACTCATCGACGTTATCGTTGTGCGTAATCCGAATTTGGATTAAATTTAATTTAAACACGCGTACTGACAATGAAATGAAACATGAAACGCGGCCAAAGATATTCGCTTGCGGCCGTTTCGTCGGTATTGCAAAACCTCTTCTGCCGGGCAGTTGAAAATATTTATCTTTCAGATAACCGCTGTCTTGGAGGGTCGAGAGAAATTAAGCTCGTTAAATTTCTTATCGATTAATGCTAGCCTTTGAAACCTCGTTAAAGCGTGATGACTCGTCGACGCATACACGGTTTCACTCAAGTTTAGAATGCAACGCG